CCCAGATTGAGTCTCTGTGTCTCTCTATATCCTTTCCTCTTTAATTACCTTTATTTTAATCTTTCTTCCCCTGTCTTCATCTTTACTTTTATCGGTAAACTCAACCTCCTCTTTGCCTTTACTTTTATGTTTATCATTTTCTTCATCTACATACATATTCCCCTTCACCTTTGCCTTTATATATGTATATATAAGAAAAGTGTTTAAATTTACATTGGACTTCATTTTTGCCTTTATCTTTAAGCATCAATATTTTTGTTTTTATTTTTACCTTTGCCTTTATCCTTTTCTGTATCTATGTACGTAGTTACCTTTACTTTCGTTCTTGTATTGGCTTTTTCTAAGTGTTATTCTTTAACCTTTTATTAGCAAATTTTTGTTAAATTAATACCATACACTCAAAAAGCACTTGTTTCAGCCCCAACCTTTTCCGTTGCATCATTTTCGTATGCAATTTCCGTTGAATTTGCCAATTTACTCCCAGCCAACCAACCGCCGCTAAAGAAGTTTCACTTCAAAAAGTAAAAAATAATTTGAAATGATCAAAAATAACAAAATAATCATGTAATTAAAATTAATGAATTAATTGACAATTTTTAATTAATTATTAATCATTAAAAATGTGCTCATATTGGTATTTAAAGGTTATCCAAAAAAACATGCTTTAATTAATAATCATTATGATTATTAATCATTATTTAACAGGTCTGGTATAATTGAATATGTACTTGTTTTAATGGTTTAAAATATACCCAAATAAAAGTTATAATATTTTGTGTACTTTATCGTATTAAACTGTCGAAGTCAAGCATGAATAAATCGCTTTGTACTTGGGACAAGCCTGGTAATTTTCGAACTAGTTCGGTTTCAGTAAGGAAATTCTAGTTGTAAACTAGTATTTTTCCTGACTAGTTTGGGGTTTCACTGCAGGGTGTTTATTTATAAACGTAAGTGTTCCTTTTCTTTCATACGTGTTTATTGAATATATCTGTACTGTAATGTTTTCGGACGGTACTAGCTCTTACTGCCAATATACGAGTATTACATATGTATATGCCTGTAGGGTACTTCCATGAATTCATACATTCACGTCCCTTTTTTTTCAAATACCAACCCAACTTGGAACGAGTGTCATTCCCACCTTTTTGTTTCATACTTTGAATGAGTTTATTTGCAAAGGAATAAAAAGGGTGAGAAAATATCTTTCCATTGATATCTCACAAGTCTAAATCGGAATAGTTTTGGTCCAGTTATTTAAGTTTTTCTTATACCAATTTTTGGAAAAGTTAAAAAAGCAGCATAAAAAATCTCATTATTACGATTCCGTAATGGTGCATTTACATGGTATGAATCTGTTCATAAGCCGTATGAATTTTCCTATAAAAGAAGCACCAACTCTATGAAGAAATGAATTAAAGCGATATATATTAAACAATTTTGACTTGTATACTTGACAATATTTTTTTTGTAAACAACAAATAAAAAAATTTTATTTTGTGCTAGCTTCGAAACTAGAAGCTTATTTTTTTGTTTAATGGGCTTTAAAAAGGACCTACTGCCAATAAAGCCTTGTGGATTGCTATTTTTCCATATTTGTAATGCTTCCATTTAAACATCTTTGTGGAAAAACAATTTTTTGTTCAGAATTGCTTGTGTACGGAACATTTGGCATAAGTTGAAATCATAGGGATGCCGTTTTCTTCCGTTTCTCAGTGGATTTTATACTTGAAAAGGCACCAAAATATGTATGCAATACTTCTACATATGTCGTTTAAAGTACAAAACCGTGTGTGAGGTTGCCTAAATTTTATAGGAGAGAATGAAACTTGTCCTAATTAAAAACGGTTCTCTCTTTTAAACTTAATAATCTTCTCTCCTTTTATCTAAGTATCGATATTTTATTATAAATGGCTAACGGCTTGATGTCAGGAGCTTCCGGTGACCAAATATCTTTTTTGGCACAAATTTCAATTCCGAGGTTTGACAGAAGTACGATACGCGCTTTTGTACTTTAAACGACGATATACATATTGGCGCTTGAACAATATGTTAGTGTTTGGCCTAGCTTCTCCTCCGATATGAGGCGTGCGTGATTTTGTCACACAAAGTAAAGGACAGTTTTACGCCGACTCCGAACGGCAATTGTATTTTAATGAGAAGTTGTTTCCATGACAGAATACACTCGGAGGTTTACTATTACGAAAGAGGGGCAACAATTATTAGAAAAAACTGGGCTTGAACTCAGGCTCTGCGTAAAGCTCTACAGCAGCCGCCCCTCCTTTATATATATTGCTGGTATATTCAAAATACTATCCCGAACTTCGGAGTGTATATGTAATATAAAAAAGAATGAGAGGTACATAAGAAAATGTACCCAAAATTCTGGAGCAAATGAAAAAATGCTCATTGAAAATAGTTCACATGTATAAATTAAAAGATATAACTTAATAGGTTACAGCGCTAAACAAAAGGAAAAGTTAAAAAAAATAGCAATGCGGTTTGAAGGAAACATGAAGCCATAAAATGCTTGTTTGTTTCGTTAATTCTCTGAACTTTGTAAGATATGGCACTCTATTATTTGCAGTAGTTAGCAAATATTCACTAATGGTTCTAAAATCGCAAACATTTTCGTGGGATGTTTTTGTTTGATTTCGAATTGAAAATACATTACGATCATATTGTACCGAAATAAGTGCGGTATCCCTGCATTTTGTAAAAGCCAGAAAGAAGCATAAACTGTATGAAAAAATGAAAAGGAGAAGTATACATGCCTTCTATAATTTTGACTTATACTATGAGTTGACGAGTTAAACATGTTAAATGGGCTTGAACCAGTTAAATGAACAAAACATGTTCATAAACAAGTTAAATCGCATGCAATTGTTGTTGTAAAATTGAACCAGTTAAATCATTTCACTCGTTGGAAAACCAGTTCAGCGCAGAGTTGTATCAGAAAGCTTTCTGCTTCAGCCAATCAGAATGAGCCAAAAGCTTTCATTGACACGCCAAGAGGGTTAGAGTTTCACTACGGTCGTAGTAGATTTACTACGGTTTCAGAGAAAATTTTAAACTTACTACGCTACTCTGCTTTACCTACGATCTGCTACGTTTTTAATTCCAAAATAATAAAGTACGCCTTTTGCAGTAGCTAAACTAAAAAACGAAAAACATAAAATAAAATTGTTTTTCTTTTTAATGCAAACATGAATTGATGAATTCAGGTGATTTGTAAGGTATAATATAAATAATATTAGACTAATTTGTATTTTTATGTAGCACATACTATATCTAAATAAAAATATGCCTCTTAAAGGTGTTCTTTCTGGAAAATGGCATTAATTTCGTAATTTTTTCACGATAATAATAGTTGAAATGGTATTTTAAAGATAGTTTTATCCTCTCTTTTGCTAATATATGCAACACTTGCTTAAAATATTAGATGATAACTCTGTCATTAAAAATCCATTTGGTTCCTTACTTTGGCTAAAGAGAGATTGTAGAGTCTAAGGTTTATAGGGTAAATTTCCAGGGAAACAATTGGACGATAGCGTAACGCATTGTTTTTCCAGGGAAACAATTGGACGATAGCGTAACGCATTTTTCGGTGAATATAAAATAAGGATCGGCACCCATTTTTGCATACTTAACTGAAAAAAATGTCTCTTTGGATTATGACGTTCTCCAGTAAACGAGCGACCTATAAAAATACTACTATGGAACATTATTTTATACTACGATTTTCCGATTTAAGCTTGCCGGAGTTCTAACCCTGCACGCCATTTATTTGAAATCGACCGTCAAAGTAAACTCGAAATGTTCAATGTGGACGATTGTGTTTTACAAAAACCTTTTTTTCATTTAACAAGTTAAATGGGGCCAATTTGAACTAATATTATATGTATATTTGGCAAGTCTTTGTGTAAACAACAAAAAATATAGATTTTCATTTCTTTGCCAGCTTGGAAAATATAGGCTTATTTTTACTGAAATGTGATATAAAGCTCATTAAAATGTTCTGTAATGTCTTGTATTTAAGTTTGTTATCATAGAGCCTTGTCTTTTTATTGTCCACTATACGTGAGTTGCTTCTATTTAAAAAGTTCTTGTACAATTAATTTCTTTGTTTTGAATTTGTTTTTTTATTGTTTTTAATTTTTAAAATTCATACTTTTGACATGTATGTGAATGGCGGAGTTACCGCTTTCCTACTTTTCGGTGGCATTTTATATTAAAAAGGCATTAAAATGGGAAAACCCCTCCTGGGTATCTCTGCATCTGTTGAACTTTTTATGGGAAGATGTATGAAAATCCAACTTGCTATAATTTCATATGCTTAACAGTGTCACAACAGTATGTTTACAGTATGTTTACAGTTTCATATGAAAAAATGTATTATATGCGTCCCACTCGATATCATTCAAATCCTTATTAGAACATGTAGTCCCTCTATTTTAGCGTATCAACAGTTCATATGGCTTAATACCATGTAAATGCACCATAAAACTTTTTTTTTATGTTTATGCAAATATTTTAATCTTAAACTGTTTTGTCATTTGTTTCAAAAAAAATTCTTTGATAAACTATTTTTATTCATAAAAAACTCCATTTTTGGATGTTTTTCAAATCAGTCCAGCAGACGTAAATCTTAATATTTTTCCGAAATATTTAGGTGCAAGTCTTAAGATGTAATAGATTTTATTATTCCAATGGAAACTCCGTACCGATTTTGGTTTGTATGGGGAGTGATGCAGTCTAATGTACATACATATTTAAGAACGAAAATTGTATATTATTGAGAGAAAATAAATAAACGAATTTAGCAGCTCATGTATATCTTGCCAACAACCTTATTAACTGTAATGTCTCTCATAAGCTAATTATTTTATACTCACCACAGGTATATAAAACATACCGACTTGCTAAAATCACATATTTGTACGATACATATAAGCCAGGTAAGGTAATTAAAGTGGTTAGTAAGAAGGCAGAACCGAGCACAATTGCACTGAATTCGACACGAATACGATAAAACCCTAAGTTTGTAGTATTGTACAATGGAACCCAATGTGACTAACAAAAATATCACTTGTTCGAGTCAATGATCTTTAAATTTACGAATGTGCATGTGAGTAGCGGTACAAGCAACGCAGCGTGAAGTTCAGTACGAAGTTTAAAATCAAGCGATTAAGAAGAATTGTACGCGGAATATCCGCCTGAAGGAAGGTGAGATTTGTTCGACCGCACTTGGCCGAATTATAAATTTAAATATAATCAAGTACATAAATATGTACATAGATGTGATAGAATTTATTTGAAAATATTAAACAGTGTGTCACGTTTTGGATATATATCGTCGCTGGAATAATGAAGCAGTGTAACATAAAAAGTATAGTTTTGAGAAAAACGAACTAGACATTTTTATAATGCAATCGATCATATTTAAACTTTAGTTGAGCGCTTTTTATTCACAATACTTACATTTTAAATACGCCACACTTTTTATTGATAGCTGTTAATATACAAAAAAATTGTGTACCATGTTTACTTAGAAATACCATTTGATTCCATTTTCCTGAAAGCATCTGCTTATACACTATTTTATCTTTGAACATTTTTATATAAAATCATTGTACACTATTTTGCATACTCAGAATAAGTAATTTTTAAGCAAAAAGCAAACCCGACTTCAATTCTCATATAAAAATTTAAAATTATCGTTAATGTCTTCATGATTTTATGATCGTATTTAAACCAACTTAATATGGAGCCTGTGAGGTAACATCCTTCATTTAAAAAAATTATTATATCGCTTAACGTCGTCCAAAAATATGCGGAAACATACATAAAAAAAAAAAAAACATATTTTATGTAAAGTCTTTCGTAACAACAAAGATTATCATTGCTTTGTCTAGAGTATTCACCATATTGTATTTATTTATGGAAACTGAAAGACTTGCCTCGTAAGGCCCTAAAGTTCAGAATTTGCATGCAATTTTTCACAAAGTGGTCAAAATTGCCTATAAGTCAGTGGGAAATTTAATATATTTTAATGGCCTTCGATGAAGTTTTGCCACCTGACGTCAAATATGGCTAACCTATTTTTAAACCTCCCCAACTGTTAAAGTTATTGAGGTTTTTTCCACGTAAAACTACAGTTTCTAGGTATCCAGAAGTTAAATTTTAGCAGAGTAAATTTAGATCAAATCGGGACGAAGAAAAGAAATTGAAGACGCGAAATTTTGATGCAGTTTACAGTATATTTTGCTTTGCTGCCTCTATGCTTAAGTGCACATTTAAGATACCTACCTCAAAATGCGCATCAGAGGCATTATTTTTAAAATTTATAAGGAAACTGCTCCTATCGATGCATTCAACATACCTGCACATTGGCGATACCTGCCTTAAAAATTGTGCGACTAGTATCAATTATCAATGAAAGTATTACGTTTACCTGCCCTGGCCCTATTTTGCTCATCTCGCAGAACAACGAAAATGGCTATTTATGTAGTTATATAGATAATTAGATAGCAATCGGTAAAAATTTCGCTTGCAGTAATTTCTACATGGTAAGTGCTCCGCCAATATTTGGTTTCATAGGGATTCGGATACCTTCCTCATTGAAGTAGTAAAGAAAATTCGCTTAAGTGCCTTTTTCGGTTACGTGCACAAGTTTTTCGTGCAAAGAATGATGTGCAGCTAAGCAAAATATACTGTACTTCTATTTGACACGTAGATTATGGATAAACAGTCATCTTGGATTTCATATTTTTTTTGGGTTTTTGCGAATTGCAAGCTTTACTTCATAAATTCATACATTTTAGGTGAAAAAATATATCAATAATATAAAAACAAAATCTTATTTAAACAGCCAAAATCTTGCTGACCTGCTCCGGCGTTTTACTAAATATAGACTCTGGATTGTCGAAATCGTTTGCCGGATCGTGAACACGTTCGTATATTTGCTTGTATATAGCGACGATAACGTTGAAAGCTCGCTTTTGCACAGAGTTGCGATGACCACTGGACATTAACAACTGAACTTGTGGCAGCAGTAACATTTCTGGCATTTCTAAGAAAGCTTCCATTTTATTCATGAATATTTTAAGTAAATTCGCCTCAATTTTGGTTTGATTGTTTTGTAGTATTGTATAGATCGGACCTAGATTTAGATTGGCCACCAAAGAAGATGCTTGTTCAGAAATTAGCGTGTCGATTTGTGCATCTGACTGTGCTTGTAAACGCTCTACGCGTTCGTCCATGTATTCGTACACTGCCAATGAGCTTTGCATATGATAGAGACAGTTTAGAAGATAGATAGCCATATCGATTGTAGGTAAATGTGAAGCCGACTCCTGTACTGATTGCAACAGAGGATCTATAACACAAGATACGATCTTTGTAATGTCTGTTTGTCGACCATCGACCATGGTAGCTACTGATAGGATCTCTTTGAGCATGTTCAAAAGGCGACCAACACTCGCTGGTGGTACCAAATCCCGCTGCGGCGGTTCAAGACCTAAATTGGCGCTGGCTGGACGTTGTAGAATGCTGCGGACTTGTTTGGAGAGCGAGTTCAAATAAATCTCCTCACTAGACTTTTGTAAATCAATAAGGGTTTGCTCAAGTGCACCTCCTTTGACCACTTGTTTTATAATTTGTTGGTAGAAGCGTAATAAGTTCGATATCGCAAACAAAACGATAGTATCCTTTTCTGAAGTCAATATGGCTTATTTTGCATTTTTCGTAAAATGCGGTTGTATACAAATTTGTAGATAATTTAATTTCCCAAATTTTTTTATTGTACATAATTAGAAAAAAGTGCGAAAAATTTTTGCATTTCCACGGTTTTCGTCATTTTTCAAAAATTTCTGTTAAAAATTCGTAGCATATTCAAATGCCAAAGTTGTAGGGAATTTTTCTCTCTTAGTGTTGGGTTCTCCGGTGGCACAACATTTGTAAAGCAAAATCTAATTTACGGCTAGTTTAGATGTCATATTTGAGACGTCATGTTGGATTTTTTCAAAAGGCCTCACGCCTTTTTCCCAAAAAAAACCTCAATAACTTTAAAAGATTTAAAAATATTGTAGCTATTTTTGACATCGGGGACAAAACTCCATGAAGTGCCATTAAAATATATGTGTTAAATTACCCACTGACTTATAGGCAAAATATTGACCACTTTGTTAAAAACTCCATGAATTTGCTGAGCTTTAGGGCCTTTGAGGCACAACTTTCCGTTATCCGATTTTAAAAATTTGTATGACCTACTGAACCTTTCTGGGGGGGGAGTCTTGCTTTGTAGGACAAGGTTGCAAAATAATGCACAGTCTACTGCACATGCATAATGATATTCACTGAATTATTTTGCAAAACTATAACTAAATAGGGGAGCGAGGGGTGTTATCTTATATATTATTTCTCTAAGGTGTTTTTTTGTTAGTCTCCCTTTTTCTACTTTTCTATGTAAGCAATTCCACTAATGAGGTGTCATTTGAAAAGCCAGAGGTCCCCTGAGTGGTTATTAGGTAATATTAATGGTCATAACACCTCTGAAGTAAAGAAATTTGTAATTGTTAAGCCACACTAAAGGTATTTTGTACAGAAGCACCATTGTAACTGCAGCATCGCATACACCGTATACGACAGTGATGGGCGCACACATAATTCAATAATTAATAAACTATCAATCAATAATCGATAAACTGACACCGGTTCTCGCACCGCTCCCTTAGCCGTGGCACCGTGTTGCTTCTTTTCAAATTAAAAAAATTGTAGCTTCCCTGTGGGGAAAATCTCTAGTTCTGAACTGGTGCGCCTCTAGTACATTTAGACCCAGTACTGGTTCGCGATAAATCTCTTTTGTATGCAAGCAACTGGCGAATTTAATATGGCGATGTCTTAGGAAGTGTCAATTGCCCCCGCTGCATCCCTTTTTCGATAGTTCCGAACTAGACCTAAATTCTATAGTTCCGAACTAGTACGAAAATCGACAGACGAAAGAAAAAAATTTCATGATTCTTCAATCTTTTTGGTTCATCCGTGGCGCGATAAGTTATTTTGGAAAAAATGTATTTTCAATTTGAAATTAAATTTGTTTGAATGAAGAAATGTACGTTTACATACCTTTAGCTGTAGCTGAGTTTGCAGAGGCGCTCGCTGTTACCCTGTAGGGAAACCCTGAACTGGTTAACCAAATTTGTAGTTCCGTACTAGATCTTTATCGCCAAAAACGAACCAGTCCGATAGTAACTGGATCGCCACCAATTCAAAAGCAGCGATATGTGGTACTTTTAAAAAACAGTTTTAGAAATCTAAATCTAAAATGACGAATTTAGAACTGGTTCAAAACTATAGAAAAAGGGATGCAAAACGAACTAGATCTCATCTGGCGAACTTTGAACTGGTTCGAAACTACTGAAAAAGGGATACAGCGGGGGGCTTGTTTACTTTAAATAGACTTTTGCTTGGCGGGGTTTTCGTTCAAATACGCTTTCAGTCTGCACGTCGCAGATGCTTTTTCATAGTTTGGTAATACAAAACTAATATTTGTGTTAACATCTTAACATTTTGGGACCTTCTGGAATATAACCAATAACAGTCAGCACCTCTGCAAATTACGCTACAGCCAAAGGTATGTAAACGTGTTTTCAAATGCACAATTTAATTTACATTCATTCAAACAAATTTGATTTCAGATTGAAAATTAATTTCTTTGCAAATAATTAAAAATTGCTACCATGGTAACCAAAAAAGAAAACATCTTGTTAATTTTTTCGTTTACAACTGGTTCGAAACTATAGAAAATGGGGTGCAAAGCGAACTAGATCCCATATGTCGAATTTAGGACTGGTTCTGGACAATTTCCAATTCCTATGACATCGCTGTGTTAAAGTCGCCAGTTGTTTGCATGCAAAAGAGATTTATCGCGAACTACTAGTGGTTCTAAATGTACTAGAAGCGCACCAGTTCTAAACTAGAGATTTCCCCACAGGGTATTTTTTATATTCCAGACGGTCCTAAGATGTTGAAATGTTAACACAAATTTAAGTTTTGTATTACCAAGCTATGAAAAAGCATCTGCGAAGCACAGAATAGAAGCGTATTTGAACGAAAAAGTCGCCGAACACATATCTATGTAAAGTAAATAAGTAATAAATAATAAGTAAGGGATGCATTCGATAGTTCCGAACTAGTTCTAAATTCTACAAATAAGATCTAGTTCG